TGATGTTATGTAAAAGTTATTGAGACTTTAGGGTTAGTACATGTTTTAGCGAATTTTATGCTATATATAGGGCTTGTTTGGTGTAGCTTCTTTTTTTTTTTTTTTTTTTTGGGTTAATTTTTTCCTTTGGTTATATATTCTGCATCATTTTTTGGTGCATTGTGTCAATTTCAATCAAGCTCATTTCATGAAATTAATTATTTTTATAAAAATCACAAGCTTGTATAAATTTTACTCATGTTGGGTTATGCGTATTGTTGTTTTTTTGTTGTTTTGGATTCAAAGCCTATAACTAACATGTCATTTTTATCAAAACTTGTACAATGCTTGTGTCTTTCTAGTCCGGATACTTAAAAGCTCTATGTTTTTCAGTGGTTTTGCAGCAACTAGCGAGTGGAAGTTTCTAATCTGTCAACGCCAATATCTTAACCCTTGTGTGCTTTCCTTATTCTTGAAAATGTCGTCCCTAAGAAATGCTGTTTATAGACGGGCTCACAAGGAACGATCTCAGCCGTGAGTGACTGCATTTCAAGTTGCAAATGTCTTCCTTTTTTTTTTTTCTTTTTTTCTGTTTGGCAAATAACCAATCTCATGTGTTGTCTTGCACTTTATTTCAGACAATCAAGAAAAAAATATGGGCTTCTCGAGAAACACAAGGATTATGTTGTGCGTGCGAAGGCATTTCACAAAAAAGAGGATGCTTTGCGTGTAACTTTAATTCCTTTCCTGCTGTTAGCCATTATGCCGTCACAAATCATTTTGTCCTGCTACTCAGCATTTGATTCCACTTTAATACATGACTATGCTGTGCCTGTATGCTCACTTTTCAGAAACTCAAAGAGAAAGCAGCATTCAGGAACCCAGATGAATTTTACTTTAAGATGATCAAAACAAAAACAGTGGATGGAGTCCACAAATCGGAGTAATTTTTAAGTTGCATTACTTTGATTTCTTTGCTTAACCCCTTCACATCCAATCCAAGCTGATTCATTAGGTTCTGTTACAGGAGTCAAGCTAACAAATACACTCAAGAAGAACTCATGTTAATGAAGACCCAAGATAAAGGATATGTCCTGCAGAAGCTTCAAAGTGAAAAAAATGTAACTGATTTTAACATCTATAAATTGCAAATTTAAGGATTTCAGGGTTCTCCTTTACTGGCTTCTTTGGGTAAAAATTTATTTTTTATGATACAGAAAATTGAAAAGCTAACAGCCGTGCTACAGTCTCTTGATAATCAACCATCAACCAGACATGTTTTTTATGCTGAAGACAGGTGTGAGCTTTTTGTTGTCTCTATTTATTACCAATTACTTTATCAGCTTATTTGACTTACATTGGAATGAAAAATGGCTAAACTAGAAAGTTTTTTTTTTTTACGTAGTATGTGATCATCTTTGGAACTGTTTGTCGTATTTGATCTAAAAAATCCAACCTGGACTCTATCTCCCTGAGAAAACAATGTTGTCTCAGAAAATATAATGGTTCTCCTTTAGTTGCTTAAAACTGTTGCTAGAACTCCCAGATTTTTAGCAATAATCGGCAGAAACAACTGCCGGCACCTATTGTAGCAAGTCTGCAGCTCAACATTTGGTTCTAGATAATGCTCTTAGTTAGAATGTAAAATGAAGGAATTTAGGGTTGGGATTTAGGAGGAAGAAGAAGAAGAAGAAGTTTTATATATATTGAATAATCATAGTGCCTCAACTTTACGTCAATCAAATATATATATAAACCCTAACATAGCAATATGACCATCTTACCCTCAACTTAAGTAAATATTAACAATAGAATAAAAGAACAAATTAAGTATTCTAACACGTCCCCTCAAGCTGGAGCATAGAGATCGAACATGCCCAGGTTGACGAATAAGTATCCGATGAAACGAAGGCTGAGCCAAAGGCTTGATTAGAATATCACCCAATTGATCCTCAGAACGAACATAAGGAGTCACAAGGTTGTTTGCGAAGTAAGAAACCACGAATAAAATGACGATCAACTTCGATATGTCTGGTGCGTTCATGAAACACAAGATTATTAGCAATGAAGATAGCAACCTAATTGTCACAAGACATGGTCATAGGAGTGAGAACAGAAAGCCAAAATCTTGGAGAAGAGACTGAACCCAGAGCATCTCAGAAGCAGTATGTAACGCCCTCAAAATAATAACATTAAACCCATCAATATAAACATACATTTATATACAAAAGATCCACATTTCCTCAATTCATCAGAGTACTTCATTACAAAAGTATTACACGTTAACAACAAAAGCAAATGCCCTATGGGCTTACAGCTTTCCAAGTTAACACTTGGTTACAAAAGAGAGTATTGACTCGGTTACACATTAAGCCCTTGGCTTGAATTTACATGTAATACATCAAAAGGAAAATAAGGCAACAAAAGTATGTCTGCCCCTAGCCTCCCAAGCTATGTCCTCAGAGGTGACATGCTACCTGTACCTGAAAATGATGTTCCCATAAAGGGTGAGCCACAGCCCAGTAGGAATATACTAAACCGACTATGAACAATACCTAAAAGATTAGCAACTGATAGATGGTCAATACTTACACTTCCATTTACATCTTATTACAATTCCATGACAGTCAATTCAATATTACAATTCATTTTCCATTTCTTATTCAACTTTGAGTTTGAAAACAAGGCTCAGTACTCTGGCCAAACGTTTGATGAGATTATAGTTCATCACTAGACCACTTTGAAAATCAAGGTGGATACACATTTTGGTGTTGTATCAATAACACGTAAACTACTTCCACACTTCACAAACGATAATGATATACATTTTAGTACTATATCAAATCAAACAAACTTTTCAATAGATAAGCTTATGAGCTATATCACTACTACAACAGATAAGCATATGAGCTATATCAACATTTCAATAGATAAGCATATGAGCTATATCAACACTTCAACAGATAAGCATATGAGCTATATCAATACTACAACAGATAAGCATATGAGCTATATCAACACTTCAACATTACAATGGGAGAGCATATGAGCTGCATCCCTAGGTCTATCCCCTATCTTCCCTTAGCCATTAACCGATTTAGAGGTACATTCCCCATCTTCCCCTAAACCATTAACCGATTTAGAGGTACATCCCCCATCTTCCCCTAAACCGTGGAGTACATCCCCTATCTCCTCCCATACACAAGTAATGCATATAAACACAGAATCACATACGCAATCAATCAATACAAAAAGTTAATGTATTCCATCAACTGTCTACACATAATGCATATAAACACATTGGCCATATGCACAATCAACCAACACATAAAGTTAATGTATTCTATCAACCATCATACTCTATGACACATCCAATTGATTAGTTTTAGTTTGCCTAATCATCATGCATTGTCTACAACAATCAACACTACCCTCCACCGGTAGCCCAAAGCAATTATTTCTAAGCAGGAAATAAATGCACAAATGGATAATATATCAACATTTCAACTAGATGAGCAATAAAAGATTCGTCTGCACTCTTTAGTCCCATACATTCCCAATTTCAACATTCTCAATTCAATTCCTCGCTTTCTTCAATTAATTATATGCATTAATTAATTAAGCCAATTAGGGCAAATTACCATAATTCACAAAACAACCCTAAGGTTCCATTTCCATCAATGTCCCAACATTAATCTCATTTCTCTATGCCTAACATGCATATAGGTTTATATATTTAAAACCCCAACTTTTGTAAAATTACACAAAGGCCCAAACTTTCTCAAACTTTCCCAACAACTCCCAACATATCAAAATGCTAAAATTTAAAGACAAAGTTCATAAGATGGAGTAGGTTATCCCTACCTCAAAAGCTGGCACTCAACGGAGAAGACGAAGAAACTCAACGTGCTCCAAAGCTCAATATTTTTGGATCAAAAGGTAGCCCTCGACGATCAACCCAACTTTTAAAAAGACCAAAGGTAAGGAGAACACCCTAGCTAGATCAAACCCTAGAGAGAAGTTAGGTTTCTAGTGAGAGAAGCTCTCCAATGGAGTTTTAGAAAAGTAAGAGAGAGAGTGTGGATGTAAAAAGTGATTTAAAATAGCCTAGCTGTCAACTGATATACGACTCTCCCGTTCGAGCGGAGAACACAACGCTCGAGCGTCAAGGACAAAAGCTAGGTACGCTTGAGCGCAAGAATGCCCGCTCGAGCGCCAAGGCACAAGAATAAAGTACATCCGCTCGAGCGCAAAAACCAGTCCGCTCGAGCGTAGATTTCTCTCTCCCAGAACTTACACCAAAAAGTACCACCCGCTCGAGCGCTAACAAGTACGCTCGAGCGCGACCCGCTCGAGCACAAGAAACTAGCTCGAGCTAGAAAACACATCTGCAGAAGTTTTGCAGAGGCACGAAATACTGAAACTATGAAAACCCTGCTCGAGCGCAAGAAGACATGCTCGAGCGGACCGTTCAAAAACTGGGCAACAACAATAGGAGCTAAAGCTCTACCAACCTGAAACAACCGAGCCCAACACATTCTAAAACTCAAACAAAAGAGCTTAAAGGTTGACAACACGATAGGTACAACTACCAACTCCACGGAACCGCGTCCGGAAAACAACAGAACAGTAAAGGGATAACCGGGATCGCTATATAGTATGAGCTGTGGCACGATACTCGTTCTCGGCACTAGAACGAGCAACAACAGTCTGTTTCTTGCTACGCCAAGTAACAAGATTATCACCAACAAAAGCACACTAGCTCGAGGTGGAACGGCGGTCAGTCTTATTACCAGCCCAATCAGCATCACTGAAGCTAGTAACAGACAAAGAGAAAGAGGGGTAATAGAGAAAACCTTGACCGGGAGCACCCTTTAAGTATTGCAAATACGACACACAACCAGAAAATGGGGTTAACGGGGAGCATGCATAAATTGATTGACCACACTCACAGCATAGGTAATATCTGGACGAGTGACAGTGAGATAGATTAACTTCCCAAGCAACCAACGATAACGACCAGTATCGGGAAATAAGTCGCCAGTGTCACCATCAAGCTTGACACCAGAATCCATGGGAGTATCACTGGAGCGAGTGCTTAAGAGGTCAGTCTCAATAAGAAGATCAAGAAGATACTTCCTTTGAAAAAGAAACAAGCCCTGAGAAAAGCGGATAACTTCAATCCCAAGAAAATATCGAAAAAGGCCCAAGTCTTTAGAGTGAAATTGTTGTCCCAAATACAGCTTCAAATCAGCAATACCAGTGGAGTCACTCTCTGAAATGATGATGTCATCCACATAGACAATAAGAACAATACTCTTAGTAGACAAGTGGCGAACAAAAACAGAGTGATCAAAGGTGGAACAGTGAAATTCATAGACAAGCACAACAACACTAAAGTGATCAAACCAGGCACGAGGGGATTGCTTGAGACCATACAAGGCCTTCCGCAATCGACAAACAAGATGCTCTTGGCTAGTAACAACCCAGGGGACTGATCCATATAGACCTCCTCTTGGAGATCACCATAGAGAAAGACATTCTTGATATCAAACTGATATAAAGGCCGAGACTGATTAATTGTAACAGAGAGAAGAATCTGAACAGAATTAAGACGAGCCACAAGAGAGAAGGACTCCAAGTAATCAATACCATAGGTCTGGGTGTAGCCTTTAGCTACCAGGTGAGGCTTAAGTCGCTTAATAGTTCCATCAGGACGATACTTAACAGTATAGATCCAATAACAACCCACAATAGATTTTCCAAACAGCAGATAGGTAAGTTCCTACATCTAATTCTGATGAAGAGCATGCATTTCCTCATCCATGGCATGCTTCTAACCAGAGATGGAGATAACTTGCTGATAGGTGCGGGGAATGGAAATACTAGACAAGCTACAAGCAAAAGAGTGAAGACCAAGAGCGAGGCGATCATAAGAAACGAAATGAGTAATAGGATGTTAAGTGCAAGTTCGTTTACCTTTGCGGAGTGCAATAGGAAGATCATCAGATGGCATATCAGCAGGTGAAACAGGGGCCTCAGACGAAGGAGATGAACTGGTCGGGCCATAAGACACAATGCGATGAGCATGAGACCGTTGATAAACCTACAAAGGAGGGGTAAAAGCAAGAGGAGATGGAGGGGATATAAGAGTGGATGTAGAAGACGTATAAGAGGGAAGAGTAAGAGTGAGACAAGCTGGTTTCCCTTCACGAGAAGAGAGAAGATCAATAGATAACTGTTGCTCAGAGGAAGAAAAAATGGAGTAGACTCGAAAAAGATAACATCAGCACTGACAAAGTAGTGACGTGACTCAAGATGATAACACTAATACCCTTTCTGAGTGCGAGAATAACCTAAGAACACACACTTGCGTGCTCCAGGAGATAACTTATCCAAACCAGGGTCAAGAACATGGACAAAGGCCACACAACCAAAAATGCGAGGAGGCAAGGGAAAAGGAGATGTTGTGGGATATAGCAGAGAACAGGGAGGTGTGTACAACACTAGAGGGCATGCGATTGATAAGCAAACAAGTGGTGAGAACTGCATCGCCCTAAAATTGTTTGGGGACATGCATATTAAACATCAGGGTGCGAGCAACATCTAACAAATGACGGCGTTTCCGCTCTGCAACACCATTTTGAGGGGATGTATGAGAACAACTAATTTGATGGATAATACCATGAGTATCACAAATGGTAGTTACAATAGATTGCACATATTCTAAGGCATTATCATATCGAAATATCTTAATACGTTGGCCAAATTGAGTAAAGATTTTAATATAAAACTTAGAGATGATGGAGGCAAATCAGATCTTTGTTTCATTAAAAACAACCAAGTCATCCGAGAGTAATCATCCACAAAAATAACAAAATAAAAGAACCCATTAACAGTGGGAGTTCTAGAAGGAATCCAAAGAGCAAAGACTTAGACACACGACTAACACTACGACTAGGAAAAGAACTACGGTGATGTTTCCCAAATTGACAGGCTTCACACTCAATCTGAGAAACATGACTCAAGCCCAGAACAATGAACTTGAGCTTGGCTAAGGAGGGGTAATCCAAGCGAAAATGCCATTGAAGAGGAGATACACTAGCATTCAGCACAACAGATGGAGGATCAGGAGATGTCTCAGTGTCTAAAAAATATAGGGCATCCTTCTCATGCCCTGAACCAATCATCCTCTTGGTCTGGAGGTCTTGCAAAACACATGAAGTAGGAGAAAAGGTTATCGAACAATAGAGAGCTTGAGTCAATTGGCTAACAGAAAGCAAATTAAATGGAAATTTAGGAACATAAAGACCAGAAGGTAAAGAAAGGGATGAAGTGGACCTTGACCACAGACAGGCCGAGAAGATCCATTAGCAAGTATAATGGTATGATCAACAGGTCTAAGAGTATCAAAAAGAGAGGAATTACCATAGACATGGAAACTAGCACTAGAGTCTAGGAGCCAAGGCTGAGGGGACTTAGCCACACATGCAATATTGCCTGAACTAGCCATGGTAGCAGTAGAGGATGAAGGTAGACTAGGCCGGAGAGACTGGACGAGTAGTAAGCTCACTAATCTGAGTAGTGACTGTCTCATGAGAATAACCGGAGAAGCATCCGAGCCAGTGGAGAACAAGGAAGACTGTGAGGATGGGACATCCATAACATGATGGACATGATCAGGTTTGTTATATTTCTGCGAACACCAAGGTTCAGTATGACCTTGGAAACCACAATGAGTACACTTGCGATCACCACGTGTACGAGAACTAGGTCCACTACTACCGCCACCACGGAAGCCACCACTTGAGCCACCACTATGAGGTCCACCTCCACGAGAGCCTCGTGAACCATAATAAGAGCCTCGGCAACTAGGTGAACCATGAAAACCCCCGCGAGTAGACCCATGGTCACCACTAGTAGAAACCAATGCAGAAGATGATAAAGTAGAGGACCCAGAAGTGGATTGTGCTTGTCCTAATGAATAGCTTAATAGTCTAGAATAGGCATTGGCAGCTGAAGGTAAAGTCTCACTGGCAAGAATCTGATCCTTGAACCCTCGCAACTCAAGATCTAAGCCAGAAAGTAAAGAAGCCATCATAAACTCCTCCCAATGTTGCTTCTGCTTGGTCACATTAGTAGTGAAAGGTCGATGCTGTAGTGACTGATTCCACAAAGTCTTGAGACTACTATAATAATCAGGAAGAGACCGGCCAAATTGATGCATAGCAGAAATCTGTTCATAAAACTCATAGACCCGAGAGACATTACTTTGATTTGAAAAAGACTCGGCAAGGGAGTCCCAAATGTCCTTAGAGGTATCACAAAATTCCACGGTAGTAACAACATGTGGTTCCAGACTATGCCAAATCTAACCCATAACACAGGAATCCTTACTGCACCAATCATCATAAGCTTAATCATCAGTAGGAGGAGGGAGTTCGCTAATAAAGCGGGACTTCTTCTTACCACGTAAGAAAATCTTGATGGCATAGGCCCAAGTCAAATAATTGGCACCATTCAATTTCTTGGTAGTGATAGATTTGGGCATGTCATCATCCTTACCCATAGTTATAGCCTTAGCCTCAATCTTAACCATAATGATCAATCACACAAAATTCTCAACACGAGGGGCAAAAAACTTGCAAACAAATACCCACAACAACCAGCCCCAACAATTTTGGACCCAAATTACTTGCAAACAGACATAAAACTAGCTCAAAAAAACAAAAATCCACAGCAAAAATAGGCAAGAGTGAGGAGAACACAAGTGTGCCACCAGATTTGGACCCAAATTAAACCAACACACCAACTCAAAAGCAGAAATCAAGAAATAGATGACAAATATCCCTTGCTAGAAAGATTTCAGCCCTTGTATAATAGGTAGAATTGAAGAAACAGTGCTGCTGGACCCACAAAATAGGTAATAATCGAACAAAACATCAACCCAACAATAGCAAAACCACAAATTAAGATCAAGGATCCCTAGGGTTATGATTTTCGGTTCCTAGGGAAGAGATTCTAGCATGAAAAAACAGCAATAAGCAGTCCCAAGAGCAGATTTGAAAAAGAGTCCCAAAAACATGAAAATACTTTAAAAAATTGAAAAATCACATTAGGGATGATCAAAAAATTCCACAAAAATCACCATAAATCCCAAGAGGCAATTTCGAGTCTAGGGGTGAAGGACCCTTTCGTACAGTGCTTACGTCATGCTGATGTCATCGTAGGGCTGATGACATCAGCATGTCTGGGTCACCTCAGATTGATCTCCAGAGTCCGTAGAAACCTTTTTGATGAAGAATAGGTCGCTCTGATACCAAGTTAGAATGTAAAATGAAGGAATTTAGAGTTGAGATTTAGGAGGAAGAAGAAAAAGAAGTTTTATATATATTGAATAATCATAGTGCCTCGACTTTACATTAGTATATACAAACCGTAACATAGTAATATGACCATCGTACCCTCAACTTAAGTAAATATTAACAATAGAACAAAAGAACAAATTAAGTATTCTAACACTCTTAAATCCAATGGGATTTGTTAGCTTTGAATTAGCATGATAAATTTGTCAGCTCCAAGTGTAGTTCTAGATTTTGTTAGCTTCAAATTGGCAATGATAAATTTGTTAGCTCAATATGTAGTTCTAGATTTGTTAGCTTCATAGCTTTGAATTATGGATGGAAGAAGGTTATATGAGATTTTTATGAATTTGTAAGGGCTTAGGTTTTAGTTTAACTTATTTAAGTAAAGGATAATATTGGAAACTTAAAAAAAAATTTAGTAGGATGCATTAAATGTTTTTTTTTTTTAAATTGTTGTCATTAATTACAAGCTAGTTTGTTCAAACATTTGAATACAATTTTTTTTTCTTGAATTGCTGGGCACTTGTTTGCAAGACCCAATGTTTAATATTATTTGTTCATAATGCAATTTGGTTGGAAGATGCCATCATGTCTATTTTGCAAATCCTTCATTTTTCTCATTATAATGACATGTTTGGGATTCTCTGTTTCTGTTTCCTTTTACCTTCCAGGGAGGATGCCAAAGAGATGCAGTTACGAACATCAAAAGTTGGAAAGGTGCCGGTTTTTGAGGATGTGAGTTTTGTCATTTACCTTCCAGGGAGGATGCCAAAGAGATGCTGTGAGTTTTGTCATTTAGAAAGTGAACTGTCATTCATGGAGGTGATTATTAAAGCATCTGTTTTGATAGTTCTACATTCATAATATTTCATTAAAACTAGCTAAGAAATTTTTTTTTCTTCTCTGATTTTGATTGATTTATATTGAATTCAATAATGGATTTGAACTCTACTAGGGATAATGTGGACCACTAATACTCAGAATGGGTTTGTTGGTTGTAAAAATTATATTGTTTTCAAATTTTCAGTCTACCATGCTAACCAATGTAGCGATGTATTATGGCCAATGACCATGGGATTGTTGACATGATCTGCTGTTCATTTTGTAGGCAGAATAGAGAATTAAATGGCGCATGGCTTTCTTTTGTTCCCTTCATATATTTAAAAATATTGTGGTTTTGAGTATTTGCAGGAAAACAGCCGCTTCCTACAGAGAGCTGGAGGCGCGAAAAGACAGAGTGAATGACTTGGAGAAATTATACATGGATATGGCTATGCAGAAAGAACTACAGGTATATTGACATTTTGGATTTGTCTAATTGTGTCATCGGCTGTTGGGTTTATACCACAATTATAGATAAATGCATTTACTAGGGCAGAAAAAGGGGCGGAAACGCAAACTTCGTGAAGATGAGATTGTATGTCCAACCTCCAAACCAGTATACAAGTGGCGGCCAGACCGAAAACGATGAAGGTGGCTCCATCTCTCAATGTCTTGTTGGATTTGTTGTTCCCATCAACTTTACCAAATTAATAATTGAATGTTTCAGAGAATTGGGATATTGTTAATGAGGTGAAGGTACCGTTATGTGGTCTAAAACTCGACAGTCAGCTTCACGTGGTTAGCTGTTGAAGGTGTTTAGATGTGGAGTTTGAGAAATCAAGAACAAAATAACTGTTTGTGGCTCTAATTGCGTGATCAGCTGTTATGACGATACCTGTAGCAATTCATTATCTGTAGTTTTTTGTGTCTGGAAATTTTTGATCTTACATTTCAGTTACAGTTACCAGAAATTGTTCTGTGATTTTACTTATTTCTTGGAAAGTTACTTTCGCTATGTTATCTCCTTATCTCCTCTCCTCTCTCTCTCATGGAATAAGAGTTCTTGGAAAGGTGCTGCATTTTCATTATTCATGATTAATTAATGTAAAGTGGAGGATTCTACGCTATTCATGATTAACAAACAGGCTCTTTTTCAGCTTAAATAGTAAAAAAAAAAAAAATAGTTTTTTCAGTCTGAACCAAAACCAAACAAAGCCTACTCT